CCGAAAGAGGGGACAGTGGGGAAGGTGTTGCACCTCCTAACCAGCCATTATTATTTGTAGAATATCTGAGAGAAAGATTATTCGGAGCATGAACACTGTCGTGCATTCAACACACAATAGAAATCTAAAAAATAATAATAGGAGTAGAATGAGTCTAATTAAGAATTAAGCAGGACCAATATGGTTTGATCCAGACCAAACCAACAGCCAAAGCTCATCAATTTGTCACGACCTTCTTCAATTTTGGGTTGAATTATATTGTTTAAGCCTTTAAAATCTCATTTTTTGTCGTTTTATAATAAAAAATTTTAAAATTAATAATAAATCTTAAAAAATTTTAAATTCAGTGTTGCCAATTTGTTAGACACCAAATGATACATGTTTTTATGTTAACTAGTTAGATTGAAGTTTTTCATTTTTAGTAAATTTTATATAATTAACAATTTTCTTCCGTTTTTAAAAATGATTAGAGTTTATCTTTAATGTACTACGAAATCTTCATTGAATAACATCATATTTTTTAGGGAGAGTGTGTTTCTTCTACCACGAACTATGACTTTTTTTTTTCTTTTTGTGTTCTTGTTTACCTTTGCATCAAAGCAAGACAACATATGAAAAAGAGATTCGTGAAACTTGGAAAAAGAATCTAACAGTTACAGAATCTAAGATAGTGCGTGGAAGAATCGAATGGTGGGAACAGAATGTCAACAATAGGGGCTGTTGGATGACATGAAAATGCCTTGGATCCATTTCTTTTTGCCCTAGAAAGGATGCGTAGCCTATTTCGTAGGTAATTCAAAAAATAATTAAGATGTTTAAATATCTCCAACAATTTAAGAGCGTTGAATCGATAAGTTTTATTCAAAAAAGTAAATAGAACTCGGACATTCAACCACTCACAAAAATTTTTAAGATGCAACATTTAGAAAATATCGCAAGAAGTGTGGCATTGTTGAATAAAGTTCTACCTTCTACTTATAATGGGTGTTTGAGGGAATTATAAATTTGTTCTCTCATTGCCTCAATATTGTGAGTTCTAATTACGAAAAAGGTTTTTGTATACGAAATAAGACTATTTATATACCTGACCCTTGGTATACCTGGACGAAAGAAGTGTGCACTTAGACAGCCTTTAAGTACCACCGGCTACTGTACTCTTAATGTCTTCAATCCAATAAAAAGAAGTAAATAAAAAAGGTCACCTAAACACGCAAGCGCAATCAAACCATTCAACACAATACTTTTTCGCGATATAATATAAAAAATTGAGCATAATGCTTTGATCTGTAGTACCGTAACCTTATCGGTATACTGTTTTCATCTTTAAATAGAAAGGGTTCGTGGGATACAGTCAAGGGACGTAATCGAATGCACTGAATGCTACTACCCACCAACCCACCTTCTCTGAATAAGGTTTTGATTGAAAATGGTTTAGTGTTTGTAGTCTTTTAGAGCATGCTGTGCTTTACTGAACTCTTATCTTTTCAGCAGGCCTGGCTGGCCTGTTCAAATTTAATGGCATAGTCGGTTCGGTTCAGGATCACCGAAAGTTTTTGAAATTCCTCAAAATTGGTAAAAAGACAATCAGAAGAGGTATTCTTTTCCTCCTACACTCAAAAAGTTCAGACCTTAGTTCACAAAAACGTGTAGAAATGCTACTTTAAAAAACATGGAGTCGTAATTTTTCACGAATATAAAATTATCAGTTTTAGATAACGAATAGATTTCATTTAGACCCCTTTATATATAAATAAATATAAATCTAATTACTTCATGAATCTCATCTAATAGTGTTCATCCTAACTTACGTGATTCGGTTCCCAATCCACAGAAGGAGACCATGGATTTGCTTTGCTTTTACTGGAGATAATAATGTGGTCGCTGTCAAAGAGATGATGACAAGTTGGCCACTGATGGAACAGGTATGTAATGACTCAGAAAAAGAATAGTCCTGTGCAATCGTATATATATATATATATGCGTTGGAATAATGGAAGCACCAGAGAAAGTGGTATCCTCTTACGGAGACATGGTTTGGGCAGACCAAATATTCAATACAAAATTACAAAACAAGTCATTACAATCATGCCGACTTAATACTGTTACAGTAATAGAGTTTAATGGTATTGTTGTCAAGATAATCATTAAATTTTTCATTATTACACATTGTTAAGTCGATAAATTAGGTCGATACCAATCCAGTAGTGTGAGAAAGATTAGTTGTTTTTTAACCGACTCTTCTTCTTTGTCAACCCTAAGGAAATCTAGGTTAGCCTATCTTTTTTTTTTGGGCTACCATAACTAAAGGAACTAGAGGCCACCATGCTGCAATTTGTAAAACATCATCGTTTCTGCATTGGCCACTACTAATAAAGTAGCCATATTTGAACGGTCTGAATGACTTCATATATTGAATATGATATGCACAAGCAAGAGTTAACAATGACGTTCATGTGACCTTAGACGTTAAAGATGGATTGAAAAAAAAGGATAGTCAGCAATGAAAAGTTGCACCCTATCAGGAGTCCACTTAACCTCCTCCCACCACCACCCATATTCAATATTCATGTGCTAATCTTTATGCTCTATTCAATGAATGTATAAAGGTATTCCAACTTTTGTCTTTAGAACAGGATTGTGGCTAGTGAAACAAGTCCGATGGGTTTTTATCATAATGAATAATGATTTCAATCACGTGTTTTTTGGACTTGTGACTATAAAAATTTGAGTTGCATGTATGCAATCAATCGCATACAACAAGTATTAGGCCAATCAAAACATCTTGTGTGAGAGACTCAAATTTGAGACTTCGAGGTGGTAAACCATGAGATTTTCCAATTCGAGAAGTCTTGATTGGTTGATTTTGATACATACTGAGGACTTGTGACTATAAGGATTGGACTGAGTTTGATGAGAATTGAAGTCAAATTTGTACCACCCAATTTGAATGGAAAATAGTTTTGAGTTAAACTTGGCTGCAGAACATTTTTTCCAAATGAGAAAAGTAAAATATTCAAAATGCATTAGAGAGGAAAAGTGTCGACAATTCAATTGAATATTTGTATATTTGCCCCATTTGTCAAAAAAGGTTTAAGCAATTTTTTTATACAAGTTGTTCTTCTTCGGCTAAAACATTGAATTTTTTTTTCTTTCCTTTCTGGAGGGTACGTGTTGGGGTGTTATGACTCTATGATAAGGATTAAACTCTAATTAGACCGAAAAATTATAAATTAATATCCGATGTTGGGTATAAAAAAGATTCATAGATTTAAGAAGACGTGACAACTTACAACAAAATCTTGAGATACTAAAATTACGACGTCATTGTAACATATAGTTAAGTAACGAGAGAAACTACCGTCTAATTCTCTTTTATTTTGAAAAAAGCATTTCCGCTTTTGTGTAAATTCTAGATAAAGAGGATTTCTGCTTACCTCACCCCTAACTTTCGATGCAAAGGCTCTGATACTGTACCACTTTCTCTAATACTAAATTTCAATTTCTTTTTTAAACTATTAAAAAAAAACAAACGAAGCTTGAGTGGCTTAGTGGACATTAACAATTGGCCTTTTGGACAGTCCATACGGGCGTTTAGATAGATATGAAACTAGTTGTGGGCACTGGGCTACGAATAGCCCATGTTAAAAACTCAGTAATTTAGCTGGACTGCTGGCATTGTAGGCCCAATTTCATTATACAGGCACTAGCTGTGGGCTGCATTGGCCCAGGTCTCCGTTTTATGGGAGTTGAAGAAAAGCACAGTTATGTAGCTGGGCTGGGGAATGAAAGCCCAATATCAACCTACAGGGCACTAGTTGTGGGGCCATTGCATGATAAACTGGGCCATGCCTAAGTTCATGCAAACAACGGTGCTTCATAGTTCATACTCTGTTTCCAGCCTCCAAATAACTCCATGACAAGCCTTGATTATCCCAAAAACATTTAGGGTCAATAATTTTTTTTTTCCATAGTCAGGGATATCTAGACCAGTTTGCATGCATTTTGATTAATCCCTTATCTGATCTGGTCAAAAGAAGTTTACTCGGAATTAGAGAATGTATGAGAGATAAAACTCCTCATGGTCTGGTTCCAAACGAGTTGTCAAGTTTCAAACTCAAAATGTCTAAGTTTATAACTCATATTTATTTCCACTAGGTTGCCCTTTCGGGTTATGGTGGTCAATAATTGTCAAAAACAATTACACATCTCTAATTTACTCCTATTTTGGGGTTGGATTCTCTTGTTCTCGGCTTCTCTTAATCTCTCTTTGGGTACTGTATTGAATTCTGTCCTTAATTAAGTCCTATAGCATTACTCTTCAGTTAATGGGAAAAGGAAGAAAAGTTGGACGGCTACTCCCATCCCAGCTAGACTCTCTAAGCTTCAGTAGTTCAAGAGTTCATTAGGTTTTCATTGCTTGCTTTCAATGAATGGATCAAAAGATATATTGCAAAAACAGACCATCTGAGGACTGGATTCAATCTTTTATATGAATCGGGACTGGCCCAACATCATGAATGGAAACAATCATGGCTGAGTTTACCTTCATTGGAAGGTAACTTCAAACGAATCGTATTCTTTTTCTACATTCCACCCCCATGTGCTATGTGGCCCTAACAAAAATGAGAGATATGGGAGGGTTTCTATATCTGGAAAAAAAAAAGTATACATAAAGATTACAAAATCCATGTTCATCATGTCCCCTTTTGTCAGTCTGTACCCGCCATAGGAAGCAAGGTATAATATAAAGATTAATCATTTATCAATCACAGACTATTCTTCTAACCCTTTAGGAATGATTTAGTAGCTGAACCTAGATAAATTAGAAGTTTCAAGTTCAATACTTTTCATACCCTTTAAGGGTCAACCACCATTGTTAGAACATGTTTTAAACCCGTTTGAGCTATGGTAACCGGTATCCTGTATCTAGTATCCGAGCTTGAGAAAGTAATCGGTGCAAATCTGAACACTTGTAGCAAAAAAAAAAAAATTTTTTTTTTTTATTAATCAAAATCGAGAAGAACCCAAAAGTATTATCGTTCTGAATTAACAAGAGAGACAGGACAAGGCTTCAACCTTCTTCAAATCAGATTTCTGGGGTAAACAATGCAGTTCTGCTTCATTAAAAAACCTAATTGAAGTAACAATCTACACAGATACAACAGAAACAAGACAAATGGGGAATGACTTCAGGATAGAAGGACAGAAGAAAAGAAACAAGGTGATATCAATCACCACTGTACTAACCCCTCTTATTTTGAAGTGAATGACATATAAAGGGGTAGCTAACAAAACTCTAGATACAGAAAAGAATGGAAAAATTGTTACCAAACCAACTTAAAATAAAATCCAAGACACACATTCACACACTAGCACAGATACTTGGTCTTCTACTTACTCAAAGCAAATCCCAATTGAATTTAGGATGTATTGAATTGGTACTTGATGCAGTTGTGGAAGTTGAAGGCTGCGCCGGCAATGGGGCTGGCGCAGAATCAAAAGTTTCCCATTGCGTGGTTATTACTACCGGCCCCGATGTTGAGTGCCTTTGTGGCACCTGCTGATGCTGCTGTGGTGTTGTTGGCAAAATCCCGAATGAGTGCCTCGCTTGCTGCTGATGAATTGGTGATGGGGTATGCCCATTTGAATGCTTTTGTTGTTGTTGTTGCTGCTGCTGAATTGCTGATGGCTTCTGCTGCTGTTGCATTGGAATGTGGTTTCCATTGCTGCTTGGTGTGGAGTTTTTGATCTTCAACATATCAAGCGTTTCAACATACTTTTGCACTCTTTTCACCTTCACAATGAGAGAGAAAATGACCCAATTAGGTAACGTTCAAAATGATATGCAATTCTAAAGAACTTAAAATCACACAGGAGCACACTAGCAAAACTGTACCTGCATTTTCCTTTGCAATTTTACATCTCCATCGGTATAAATGCCATCCAATTTAACCAATTGATTCATCAACAACTCAGTCAGCTTCAGCATTTCGTTCTCTGCAACTTTTCCACCTCTAGAGATGACCGTTTCAAGAGCCGATACCTATGCAGTTCCATTCAATAATGAAGTTTTAATTACATTAATAAATCCCAATTCACTAAGCTCAATGGAGTTAAATTCATTATTTTCTAAATCAGACCCGTTGATGCCTCCAATTCTAAAATGCCCCATTAACTCCAAATTGCCTCAGCTTGATCCTTTCACTATGCAACTCATAAACTTTAACCCAAGTCGTCCAATTTTCCATTAAAACAAGCATAACAGTCTATGACAGATTCAATTCGCCCCAAAAACCTCTAATCTTTCTGGGCTTTTACATCAACCACTAAATTGATACAATTGAAAGTTGAGAGGTATATTGAAACTCGTGTCAAAATTCAAAGGATATCTATGATATTTGAAATAAAGAATTACCTGCCCTGCTAGCCTATCAACCTCCAAGCTAATTTCGGAAACTGATTTTGCAGCCTTCTCCAACTTGGCATTCCTTCTCATCTCAAGGAAGCGTTTCTCTTGGCTAATTGGGTCCTCTACAAGAACAATCTTGGATTTGTCCTTAACACCCACAACATCAAGAAATGTTTTTGAGTCTCTCTCTTTATCCTTGAACAGCAACTTCTGATCTTGGTGGTGCAACCCTGTTGGCCCTGTTAGCATCTTCTTCAACTCCCCTGTAATCCCAGAAAATCAAGCACTGATTCAGAAAAAGGAAAAAACATAGAAAAGAACTTTTCAATTGAATAAATGAATGAGTTTTGAAGATGGTTGTGTACCAAAGGTGGCTTGAGAGCTAATGTTGATTTCGTGGTAAGTCGACCCGTATTTGACTCGGACTCTAATGGTGGGTGGTGGTGGGACACGGTTGTGATCTGAATCTGGGCCTCGCTTCTGAACCAGCATTCCTCCTGGTCTCATCTCCCACTCACGACCATTATCGCGGCCGCCGCCGCCTCCGGCGTTTCTTCCACTGTCAGCACCGCCTGAGCTACCATTTATCGTTGACAGCCCTGTCGTCATGGTCTTCATTCTCATCATTTTGGGTTTCTTTGTCAGAGAACTCTATAGGAAAAGTTTCCAATCGAACGGTTGAGTTGAAGTAAAGTTGTTCAGATCAGACCAATGACTCTATACCCAACTTATGTCCACCGGACAAAAAACATCCGAAGCAGCATTACACGAGCCAATCACTGTGGATCAACTGTGTATATCTAGAGAGAGAAAAAGAAAGAGAAACTTTTTCTCTCTCTAAAACCTTTCTTACTTCAATGCCGAACGAGGAAAGAAAAATCAACCCGTGAATCTATGATTCTGAGTCAGAAAAGTCCGGAGAGATCGCCGGACGGGTTGAAATGCCAAAAATGCACCAATTTGGTGGACTGAGAGTTGAAATTGACAAGAAACTTCAGATCTGTTTGAAACCAAAATGGAGTGAACACAATTGGAGCATGAAATCAGCCAAAATTTACGAACCCAACAAATCTTAATCTCCAATTTGTCCTATGAAACTTACCCACAATACCAATGTCAACGCCGATCAAAACTAAGGGATAAAAAAAACCCCAAAAAATTAGACTTTTTCCCTCTGCGTCTTCTCAGTTTTTCCTGGTGGAGAAGACTCGAGGAAGGCGGAGCGAGAGATGAAATATAAAAGAAAAATGAATGGACGGCGGACAGAACTATGCAGAAGGAGAAGATACTATATATATTCCACATCATTGGTTAAGTAATAGACTTCTCTTTTTAATTCTTCGGCTGGGTTAAGTGGTTAAATCTAGTTTATAATAATTCCATCTAAAGTTTAATTTTTTTCTCCGCTCTCTAAATGGTTAATCACTCTTGTAAGGAGTAGAACCCTCTACTAAGGATTTTGGCTTGACCTGGGTTAACCCACGCGGGCGACCCCCCAGTAGTCTTTACCTCTCTTCGCCAATAGGACCTTTTCCTAAGGCAATCCCACATCGGAAGAGAGTCGTCTCCCCCTTGCCAAAGTGTACCTCTCTTCGCCAATAGGACTCTTTCCTAAGGCAATCCCACATCGGAAGAGAGTCGTCTCCCCCTGCCAAAGTGTTCACTTATATGGCAGGGAGGAGACGACTCTCTTCCGATGTGGGATTGCCTTAGGAAAAGGTACTATTGGCGAAGAGAGGTAAGGGTTACTGGGGGGTCGCCCGCGTGGGTTAACCCAGGTCAAGCCGAAATCCTTAATAGAGAGTTCTACCCCTTACAACTCTTATTCTTAAGGAATATGCTCTAAATCGATGGTTAAATTCACAAGAATAATTATTATAAATCTAAACATTGTCTATCAAATATTAAATCTTTTTGTAATGAAATTACAAAAGCCGCCAAAGGCTGTGATCGGTCTTTGAAGTTAAACACAACGCAAATGACAGAAGTAGAAACTTTTTTTTTTACCACCAAAACTGCGTCACTGTTGTTGTACGCGCTAATTTGTTTGAGAGTTGTGAACATGTGTCGGTGTTGGGGCATTTTGTCGGTGTGGGGTTTAAAAAACAAAAAATAAAAAAATTAGATGTTATCCTTAAATCACGTCACATTATGTATTGTAACCGTTTGTTAATAAATAAATAATTTTACAAATGAGTCTGGTTAAAATTTATAATTACCTAACTATATAATACATAACTATTTTCATAAATAAAAAATAGACCAATTAATTTACTTGAAGGATTTAATTGATTTATTCATTTATTGCCAAACTCATTAATTTTTCCATCAATTTTTTATTAAATTCACACAAGCCTTATGGAGAATTATTGGACTTGTATGTGTTGACTGATAAATGCCGGGCACAAACCAGACTGCCCGGCGGCCATGTCGTTACAACAGTAAGCATTGGCTTAGATAAATGGATGCTCGAAAGCTATTTCTTCTCTCTTTCGGTTTTACTATTGTTTAAATATTTCTAATTAATTTAATTTATTCTAATTATCATAAATAATCGTATATCTTTTTATATGCATTAAGCGATGGGGTAACTTTAATCTCATTACAGCATTTTCTACCCAGGTTTTCAAAATAGAAGTTAGCCAACATATATTTAAATATTACACTCTTTATTTTAACTAACTAATTCACTAATTTTCAACAATTTAAAAGGAATACATCATATATATATATTGAGAGCGATAAAGAAAGAAGTAGAAAGAGAATTTAGAGAGACTAAATGACTCTCCACATTTGGAGAGTCACTTTGGTGAAATAGAATAATGGCTAGTTAAAATAATTAAAAGAGAAGAAATGGAGAGTGGGTTAGAGATACTCTTAGGTATCTCTTAAAAAAATATAACCGGAATAGCTTACATATCCCTAGATAATTTTTATCTCAAAATAAGTAGAGGAATGAAATAATAAAATTAGGAACTTAAATCTTCCAAATTAACTTAAGGGAAAAACTATTGGGTGTATTCATTACACCATGTTAGCAATGTCACGTGGTGTAATCGTTCACTAATTAATAAACAAATTAACAAATGGAGCCTACTAAAACTTATAATTACACATCTATGTATTACATAACCACCTTCATTACAAGAAATAAACCATATTTTATCATTTTTGTTATTTTTGTATTAGATGATTACATCATATCAACAATATTGACATAATATAACGGTTACACTCAATATTTATATATTAAACTCCACGTGGTCAAAAAATAGATTCCAAATGGTCAAAAAATAGATTCGTGAATTATGTAAAAGGTTCAATGGAACAGCGATGAATGAGGAGAATTGGATAAAATACACTTCTACCTCCTTACTTTGCTCTAGTTGGATAATGATTCAAATGTGAAAAATGAGAAGCTTGTGCTTTTTAGAAATTAAAAAAAAAATTCTTCTTTTTCGATAGTCAAAATATAAATTTATTCTTACATTTTTTGACGAGTGAAACCATCGACAAACACATGTTATATGGAAAATTAAGCTTGATTAGTCAAGTATGTGAGAGACACAAATGCCCCCTTATTAACTTAACAAAAAATAAAAAATGTTGAACTTAAGATAGACAATTCTCCACTATTAATATTACGAATACGAGAGTGAAGAATATGACTATGTGCTTCAAGATGAAAGCTTAATTAGAAGAAATTGACAAAAATAAGGTTTTATTCGTAATTTTACCATTGAAAACTATTGTTGAAATTTTGTTCCTTATCCTTATCTATCCTTATTAATTCATTTTTTTTGTGTGTGTGTTATTGTTTTGCATAGTGATTCATTTTTCAGCTCCCAATAATAGTTTGCAAGTAATTTTCACATTTTTTTATAGCATCAAAACTTTTTCCATATTGGGTTTGAATTTGTCAATTACCATTGACACCTCTTTTTCTAGGATTTAGAATTAAGGGTATTGAAACCTTTTTTCTTAGATAGAATAATAAATTATATAATATAATATAATGACTTTCTATTGTCATGTTTTCGTTGGACTAAAAACATAAAAAAAATTATCAATAAGTCCTATTTTTTCACAAAAAGAAACCATTAAATCTTATTTAGACAAATAAATTCTATTTTTAACAATTTATTTAAAAAAAGTACTAAATTCTATCAATGATACATTTTGTTCTAATTTTACCCTCCTCATAAAATATAATTTATTGTTTTGCCAATAATTGTATGATTAATTTATATTATCATTGTAATAATACTTCTAATCTTCAATATAAATCATTGTTGCATTTTTTCTATAAACTATGTAATATTTCAACTTACTAAACATACAAAAAAAAATATTTTAAATTATTGATGTAGTTTTGGATTTTGTTGTGAATAAATTATAAAAAATAAGGCATAAAATTTATTGGTGATTTTTCTTTTTATATCTCGTATCCTATATCAGGGACACAGATGTAATTTCAAATTAGACGCCGATTTAAAGCAACAGCAACACAAGGATGGTCACGAAAGAAAATATTATTTGGACCTAATTTGAGGAGAAAATATTATTTTGACCTAATTTATGAACCTAATTCAATACAACCATTAGATTGATTGTGAGCTCTATTTAGCATTGAAACTTATAAATAATCTAATAATTATATTAAATTCACGATCTCCAAATAAATTCTAAGTAACATTAGTCGGTCATGAATAGTTTGGTTGACGTCAATGTCTCATGACAGCCGAATGGCTTACGTCACACACATGTAACCTACACGTGTCACTTAAGAAGACCAGAAGGATGACCTCGGTTAGTGGTCTCTCGGGTGTCTTTACCTTTTCTCTCTCTTCAAGGTAAAGCCATTGCTGCAACTGCCACCGACAGTTTCAGGGACGCACGATCAACAAACTAAATAGAAGACAAATACGTGGCGGATTGTGCATCGTAGATATGTGTACCAACTTTGCAATCTTTTAGGTGGGAATTGATATTCTCTGCATACGTCGTCCGATGGAGACGCTACAACCGACTTGTTTTTGTACATAAATAAACAAAAGACTCAACCACAAGGTAGCCAACGGAAACAGCGACAAATTATAAATTCAAATTTTTTTGAATTTAATATTTAATAATTTTTTAATTTTGACGTGAATGATTTATTTTTTATTAAATTAAAAAAAAAATTAATCGAAATGTGTGTAAGTTAACTCAATCATTTCATAATACTAAAAAAAAAAAAAAAAAAAACAAAAAACTGTAGTGTATGTATGGTTGTTGGTGGGTTAGATATTTAATTGATTTTATAGGTTTGTTATTAGTAATCTTAATTATTTCTAGGTTCTAACTCAGTTGATTAAGGCCACTGTGCAGACAAGAAAAAGAAAGATACCTCCGCTACTAATTGTCTCATGGAAATTCTGTAGGACTAAGGTGGGTTTTCAATTGTTGTTGGTTTCGTAAGTAAGGAGGATAGAAAAATAAAAGGAAAGGAAATTGGATTTTTATGTTTGTTTAATATTATTGAAAGAAAAATGGAAAGAAAGAAAACTTGTAAAATTTTTTACTATCTTATCTGCCACGTGGCAGTGTAGCCAACCTGGACAGAACAGACATGTTATGATGTTGTTGTTGTTTCTGGAAGGTTGGGCCGTGTGTTGCATATGAAATAAAGGGGTAAAATGGTAAAAGCATATGTTCATGTCCAAAAGTTCATCCGGTTTCTCTCCTTTTTTTATCATAGAAATAATAAAGATAATGATTTGTAGGAATGTGTACCCCAATAGGCAAATTAGCTAGTGTGATCCAAAGCCTATATTTGCGACCAGTTACATTATTAAGCTTCCTTCGAGGCTAGAAGGTATTTCATTAATAATAATAATAATTGTAATTGATTGACTTGTGGCTAGAATATGAGAGTATCCACTCAAAAACTCTACATCTATACATTCATTTAGCCACCTAAAAACACATTACACACATGACATAAAAAGAAGAACCAAATCTACATGTACATCTACATACATGATAGGTGGACATTCTTGCTAATTTGTTACTAATTAATTTTTTATGATATTTTTTCACTCTTCTTCATCTTCCAAGTGTTAGAAAATGTGGAATACAGTTTTTGATTTGCAATTAATTGGTATTAGGTTGGACACCTGTTAAAGAATTTGAATCGAAATGACATTCAGAGTTAAATATTACACAATTAGTGTCCAATGTTTGATACTGCATAGTAACTTCATACATGAATTTTTTTGATTT